GCATGCTAAGATACTTTCTAGCACTCTAGGTAGTAACATGTTCAAACATTATGGGGATCATTCAAACAGTCTGTTCTTAAAACTAACTGACCACAGCCATAATATCATGCACTTCAAATAAGACTGATCTCTCAATTGGTATCTTAACACTCAGTTTTTTAAAAAAAAATTCATTCAGGATCAAAGATTGCATCACTAAAAAATATTGTTTCCTATCTAGCTGAGTTTCTCTTGTTTCCTACAATTACTCCTTATCCTCCTCTAAGCTAAGCTCTTTGGCATACTTGACACTTAAGCAAAAACACTTGAAAGCCAACAGGTATAAAAGAGAATCACTTTGACTTTCACACTGTTTCTTAAAAACAAAAGATAAAATTCCCAGGTAAAGACACTCTACCTAGCCTAAGAGGAATGGCAATATTCTAACCTTTAAAGACCAATAATTCAGACCAAGAAATAGCATATGGTACAGATCTTTTTAGAATAACTCTTATTTTGGGGGGCCTTCTTACATAGTGCAGTCACATTTTCACAGTTAACTATTCTTTGTCCAATCCAGTTTAGGTAACTAATTCAAACTGCTTTACTCCAAATCTTGCTTATAAGATTCATAAGATTACCTTATAAGGTAAGGTAATTCATAAGATTACCTGTTAAAAAAAACCATTTAGCTTTATTCCATTTTGTCAGAAATAAAATTTGTATACAACTGTCTTTTATAAACTGATGAGTTTATATATTTTACTCTCTCATCTAAATTTCTAAAATAAAAGCTATAAGATTCTTAAATGTGTATGTGTATATATGTATATATTATTTATATTATTATACTATATTATATATAAGATGTTTATATGTGTTTAGCACATGTACAGGTATTATGTTATATGCTGTGTCCACATTTTTAAAAAATCTGCTGTAGTCAGCCAAAAATTTCTTAAGAAATTTACTTCCAATTGGTTTAAATAAGAAGTAATATAAAATACGGAGTAGTTGATCCAAATGCTTTTTTAGTTCAGATGACTTAAATAAATTTTTGATAAATTAATTGGTTTGAAAATTGTTGATAAAATAAACTTAGAAATGTTTTCAAAATTGTCCACCTACATTTTTGCCTGTGTTTACCAGTCAGATAGTCTTTAGATGCTTTAAGATCATGAAGATATAAACCCAGCCTAAAACAGAATGACCTTTGTGTAATTATTTAAAAAGTAAAATTAATTTAATATTATTGATTTAATAAAAACATCAATATTTTCTGCCTTATCAGCAAGATGTCCAAGCATTTACCTTTAGGTTTCTTATTTAGGTAAACACTGGTATTAGCAGGCTATAAAATTGGTTAACTTAAAAAATAAAAAAACGCTTTTTAGCCAATTGGTATAAGCAATCCAGGCATAATTATTTTTAATATTAAATAAATTCAGTAACTATAAACATTTATAAACATATATTTAATGTAATTTAAAATCTTAAAGTTATGTTAAATTAAATACTAGATATTTGTTACATGTCTGGGTTATATCCAAATAAAATTTTTAAAACTGAAGCATAATTGCTGAACAAATCCTTATTCTTTGCTTGTTTTAGTTTTCATAAAAATACAATATATTTAGGTCTATTAATCCATGTAAAAATTATATAAAAGACACAAAATGTGTTCTATTAAAAAATAATTTTGTATAAGAAAGAGTCTTGGGTGGTAAATATTTTGTCCTAAGGTAAACTGATTGGTTGTTTAAATATATTTTTTAAAAAGTATAGGGCTAAGACGGGGGGTTTAAGAAAACGAGGAAATATCTGAAAAAGTCAAAGAGGATTTATGAAAGGTGGGCCTTACACAAACGTTTTGTGTATAATTGGCTTGGCTGGGACTGGAAAGAATTTGTTTATAATTTTTTTCTAAACATTGGTGTCAGGGATGCACTGATACAGGACGAGTCTGGTTCTACAGATTTCAAACATCAAGGTTTTCTCAAAGTATTGAACTTTTCTTAATAAAATTGAAAAAGGCCTGGATTTTGTTTCTTTATCTGCCATCTTTTAAATTACAGTTTTTATTTGTGCCACATTTTTCTTAGATATATTTAATTTCCCTAGTTTCACGTTTAAAATGCTGTGCTCTTTGTTCAAAATGGTACTTCCATTTTTTAAGGAAGAGTTTTCTATTGGAAATTTTTCAGATTCATATCTCAGAGGTTCAATTTTTACAATATCTCACTGCATATAATTTGCAGGTCATAGTTATTGCCTTCAGCTTTTTCTCCCCTTAAGGAGGCATGTGATAATAACTCTCTCCTTCAACTTGTTTATCAGTTTTTGCATCTTTTTTCTCTGGTTCCAAATCAGCAATTGTGGCCTTATTATTGAAATGTTTATCTTGAAGGCCTGGAAAGGCAATGTTTTTCTCCAGTGTACCTTAATTCTGTACTCTTGGTTTTTCTCAAGGTGTTTGACCTGTTACCCTTCTAACCTTGGGCATATTCTTCCTGTGACTGATTACATTTAAGCATCTTTTCCATCAAATTTAACTTGCAGGTTAACTAATGAGCTTTCCACAAGGAGAAACAATCAATCACAATTCAAAATATTTTTCTTTTCCTTTTTGGCAGATGGCCTAAGAAATAAAGATTTTACATTTTATCAGAATGATTTATTGTGTTGCATTTATTAGATCCTACTTGTTATTTAAAGCTCAGAAACTGAGCTTTAAGAAGGTTAAGGTTTTTTTCATCCATGTACTTCTTTGTATTGATTTTAAAGCATTTTGGTTATCGCGCTGGTTACATAAGTGATTATTATTTTACAAATGACCTGTGATCCTACTTTGATCAAATGTTTTAAGCCTTTGAACATTTTTCACAAACTTCCTCAAAATCAAATAATAAGACTTTTAACCTAAAATTAACTTTGGAATTTTTCAGTTGGACCTCAGGAACGATTTAAAAGACATATATGTCTCATCTGGTGCAGCTATTAAATATTAATAGCTACTAAACTTACTAAATAAGTTTAGGCTTATTTAGTAATTTATATGAGAAATATTATCAAATGACAAGTGATAGTAGAACTTTCAGTTGCATTTATGGGTATGTTGTTGATATAAAGTTTTCAAAAATAATATAAATTTATAAAAATCTAATAGGTTATCAGTAACAATTCTGGCAGTCCTAAAATGCTACAGATGATAGAAATAACTAAATGCTGAGGCCAGCATTATCCTAATACCAACACCAGAGAAAGATATTATGAGAAACAGAAACTACCAGACCAATATCATGTCTCATGAATATAAAGGCAAAAAAATCCTCAACAATATATTAGCAAGTGGAATCTAACAATGTATGAAAAGAATTATATACCAGCTTTTTATCTGGCTATGAAAGACAAGCAACGTTCTACTTATCTAGTGGACTTCCTGTCTATATCAACCCCAAAAACATCAGGTTCCAGGCTGACTGGCAAGAGGGGTGTATTATTCAGCCTATTATGCTACCTGTTACAACAATTAGTCCACCTTGAATCTGATAGTTAAGTGTTCCCATCTGCCCTTGACTATTCTCCAGTCTTATCCCTTTGATACTAGAGAACCAAGTTTCACAGCAGAATCTCCATCTATTGTAATTCTTGGGTAGAGAAGACAGTAATAAATGTGCTATTTAAAGATGTTAGTGACTACCTTAGAAGTATCCCCTTGACCCTCTCAGAGCATGCATACATTTAAAAATCTCAAAAAATATACAATATAATCTATAGTGCCCGAAATGTTCTGCAAATTTTCTTCCAGTTAATTAAGTTGAATCTAGGCTATCTGACACATGAGGCCACATAAAAAAGTAACTTCTGTGATCTGTGTTTACCCTTCTTGCAACTTCTGAAAAAAAATCTAATGATACTATGAAACAGTTGCTGAAAACTTACCGGGTATTAGAAAACTAAACAAATAATCAAAGTTGTCTCATAATTTAAAAACTTTATAATGAAATTTTTAATTGGAAAATTTTGCCTGAAAATATTTAAGATGCAGTATGTTTAGCCTCAGAAGAAATATTTAACCTTACAATTGGGAGACATAGTAGGATCATATTTACTTTAAAACATGAAAGGAGGGGGCATCATAAATGATATTTGATTATACATAATTCCAGATTATAAAATGGGAAATGAAATATGAAAGCTATAAGGAAGCAAATTTTCATCTCAATAAAAGAATATAATTTCACTTTCAATTAAATAAAGTTGCCAATAGGTATTATGTTGCTCTATGTGTTGGTCAGTTTCCCAGGCCTAGAAGTCTAAAAGAATAGGTTGCTTACTAGTTGAACATAGAGGGGTGTTCTAGACTAGATTTTCCTCTTAGCAACAAGATCCCTAATTGCACTCAAAGAACTACTAATTGTTTAACTATTTTTTCACCCACTTTATTGTTTTCTGCTTATGTGAATATTGAATAATATGAATATATTAAACTAATTATATACATGGATATAATTTTTGAAAAATTGTAATTGTATACATATGCATTTTTAACATATGTAATAGCATAAAGAAAGGCAAAGAAGGAACAGCAAACCTGAATCAACATACAAGGTAACACTTGTTTTGCTTTCCAAAAAGTAATTGTGATGAGACCCAATTAGTCCCTTTAGATGAGAATGCTTTTCAACCCAATGCAAGAGGAAAATATCAGCTTATGCCAATAGCCCTGCAAATACACATTGTGGGTGGGAATTCATTAAAACATTTTAGGATGTTCTATGGACTAGTCAAAATGCAGCTCACACAAAAAGTGTATTGTAAATATTTGAAACTATGCAAAACTGTTCATAGATAAGGAATTAAGTATGTATTTGTATTATCAACTAACTTGGAATAAACTGTCCAAGGTATCTGAGCTCCTGAATTAAGGACAATACATTGTCTCAAGATAGCATAAATTTTAAACATTTGTATTTACACTGGTGCTTACAGAAGGCATGATTTGTGTGCTTATAAATTACTTAGATCTTCCTCAGACTCAGGAGTTGACTACTCAGTCTCTTCATTGCTATCTCCATATCTTTGTTTTGCAATGAGTAAATGGCAGGACTGAGGATGAGTGTAGTCATAAAGTCTAAAATGGCAAGAAATGTATCCACTGGTACTGTGGGAAATGGCCACACATAAATAAAGATGCATGGTCCAAAGAACAAAGCCACCACAGTGATGTGAGCTGAAAGAGTAGAGAGGGCCTCGGACAAATCACGTGATGAATGTTTCCATACAGTGACAAGGTTGAAGATATAAGAGATAATCAATAAGAAGAAAGTGCCTGTGGAAATGAACCCACTATTAGCAGTAACCAGGAACTCCACGTCCTGTAGCTGTCTATGCAGGAAAGTTTGATAAACCAAGGAAGATCACAGTAAAAGCTATCTATCTCATTAGGACTGCAAAAAGGCAAATGGACAACAAAAGCCAACTGGGTAACTAAGCGAATGAGACCAATAACCCAAGCACGAGACAGAAGCAAAATGCACATCTGCGGGCTCATGATGGTCAGGTGGTGGAGGGGTTTGCATTTGGCCACATATCTGTCAAAGGCCATAGCTATAAGGAGCGCCATCTCAGATCCACCCAGGACATGAAGGACAAATATCTGGATGACACACCCCTGGAATGATATGGTATTGTGCCCAGAGTATAGGTCAGAAATCATCTTAGTAACTGTTAAGGTAGAAAAACACAAATCCATAAATGAAAGTTGGCTAAAAGGAAGTACGTGGGGGAATGAATGTAAATGAGGGTCAAAGGTCACTATAAACACAACAATAATGTTTCCCAGAACAACTGTCACATAAAACACTGTAGAAATGGCAAGCAGGAAGTGCTGCACTGGTCTATAGGTAGAAAGTCCCAGGAATACAGATTCAGATACCTCAGAGTAATTTGCTTCAGACACTGGGTTTTGTCTGGCGTAACCTGAAAGATCACAAATAAAATAAGAGCAAAGGAATTTGTCAGAAATAAATATTGAAAAAAACAGATTTAAATTGTTCTTAAATATGATATTAAAAAGGAAATCTTCCTGAACAGCCACAAGATGTTTTGAAAATTTTATGCATTTATTTATCCATTTAACTATTATTTGTAATGAGCATCTATTATATGCCAGGAACTATGTCAAGTTCTGAGATAAAACACTGATCTTGGTTTCAGGAATATTACAGGCTAATGCTAATTCTAGACATTGAATAGTTTCAAATACAGATAAAACCCTGATAATTAATACAAAGAAAACAAACAGCACTATTTTTAAAATGACTGATCACATAGGTGCCTGCTCAGACTCCGCTACAGGGAATTATTACTGAGGAGTAAGAAGAATAGTCAAGACTTTGGAAATACTATGTGCAAAGACCCTGAGACAGTTGTTCGGAGGTTAAATAAATGAGATCAGGCTGCAGTGACAGGCTAGAATGATGGAATTCTGCACCCATAGAAACTTTACTTTTATTCTAAGAGCAATAGAAAACTATCAAGGATTTGATCATACTTCCATTTGTGACAAAAGGTCACAAAAGCTTCAATGAAAAGGTTAGATTTTGCTTAAAGTGACCTGTCAGGAGACTACTGAAGAACTATAACACATCAGCCTGGACAGGATGAATATTCAACCAACAACATTTGCACAAGAGATAAAACTTGGAAAAATGTAGATCTTTGCCTACAAACATGGACTTAATGAAGTGTCAAATGGATATTTAAAAGTTAAAAAGAGAAATAAAAAAAGTATGGGAACATGTAGCAAACATTAAGTTGGAAAATCTAATCAAAGCATATCTCATATTCACAAATTATGGAGGAAATGATTGAAAAAACATCGAATATATTAAAATATGTCATATTTTATATATGTGCTCATATATGTAGATATATATCGTGCATATAGATACATGTCTATATATCTTTACGTGGAGATTTAAGCACTATAAAAATTAAAAACAGACTAAAGAAAATAGTTGTAAAACATCAGATTAACATTTTAAAATAAAATTAGTCTTCCAAATAAATAACAGATAAAAAGTGTGGTATGTCAATTAAAAAATGAATGAAACATATAAAGACAAGTTACAAAAGAAGACATTCTAAGAATCAATAGCTATAAAAAGTAAACCTATCACTAGAAATCAAAGAAATGTAAATAAAATAGCATTGAGGTGCATTTTCTTTTACCTAACAAATTGTCAAATTTTTTAGAAATTAATGATTTATTGTGGATGCGGATATAAGGAACAAGGCACTCTCATACATTTATAATGTGACTGTAGATTAAACAAGTTCTCTAAAAGGCACATTCAAAATAGATATCAAAACCTCAACTTCATCTATAGAAACAAAAATTGATAGTAAGCAAAGATGTGAATAACATATATTTGAATACAAAGAGAAGGTCACAAGATAAAATATGTAGGAAGACCTTTTTTAAAAATTGTGCATCTAGGAAGAAATAGACAATTTTCCTTACTGCTTATCAATAAATTGTTAACCTCCAGGCTTATATGCATTTGTTAGTTTGAATCACAGATAAAATTGTTCTTTCACTGTGTCCAAAGATGGACAGTTTTATATATCAGTTTTATAGAGTCTAATCTAATCTATTAACTTATTTTTCCCCTTACTTTTCTAAATTACTTTATCCTTAAGTATTCAAACCAAATTACTGATGCTTGTTCCACACTTAAATTGAATACTATGGGTTCCTCCACTGGCACAACCACCACCAAATTTTCCTCTAGGCCCATACTACTGACAACCATTCTTTCTCATGTCTTCACTTCTCTCTGCACTACTGCACACTGAACCCAGTCTCTGACTTTGAACAACCCTACGCTGCCTCAGCAAGAAAGTAGAATAGACTGGTGGCAGCCACGAGGGACCCATAACAGGCAATAATAAACTAAAAGGCAGCCAAACCAAGCAGACATGGGCATCCTGAGGGTTACAGACATAAAGTAGGTAATGCAGCCAAAAGGAAACGCTACAGGGGTGATACAATGAGGCCGTACCACAAGGGCACCAAATGGAGAACTTTATAGGCAGTAGCTGGGAAAAATTAGGATAGAATTGAGCAAGGGAAAAAAAGGGACAATCACGGAGGTGAATTACAGTGGATATGAGGTTTTAGGAGACTTGTAATCAACTCTATCTAAAGGTTTTGATCATACAATATGAGGGTTTTAAAATATATATTGCAAAATACAAAAAAAAGTGTATTTCGGTATATTCCCAACTGAAAAAAAAATGGAAAATAAAAAGTTTAAAGACCAAAAGAAAGGTCAGTAAAAATATACTGATAGATTATTTTCTTGAATGGTAAGAAAATTGAGTGATTTATTTTTGTTTTCTTGTTTTATTTTTCAAATATTAAAAATTACTTTATTAAGGTCTTTATTTGATAATATTCAATAGGAAAGGAAAATTATCATCAAACAGAGTGTTATGGTTGATAGAAAGATCAATATGTTAACACCACAAGGAGGAGGCCTAATTTTAAAAGGTAGGAGACATGCACAGGCAACTCACAACAGGAGCGACAATACATACAAATGGCCAGTAAATATATTTATTGCCATTTAACTTCATCAGTCATTAGGAGTTTCACAAGATTTTTTTGTTTGTTTGTTTAATAATCATCAGGGAAAAAGAAAGAGATAAACAGAGAGAGAAATCAGAAATAAGTAAATTCCAAGTTTTTCTAGGTCTCAAAATGAAAGGTACTCTTATACACTGTTAAAGGATTTACAAATTGACAACAATTACTAGAATTTGAAATGCACAAATCTATTTCTAGACATACTAGCACAAAAGCAAATGTTATACATATGTAGGTAACACACATATATATATTTATACATATATACCTCTATTAGAATGTTGTTTCTATGTCAATCAATAGTGAGTATTAATCCCATTACAGTACGTCTGTACAAGAGAATACTTTGAAGCTGTTAAAACTAACTAAATAGTTTTAAATATATTTGGAAAGATTTCCAATTTAGTAAAAAACAATAAAATACAGAATAAAATTTAAACATGAAACTTTGTGGGTGTGTTTAAACAAAAAAAATTCTCCAGGAATGCACACCAAATATTGCCAATGGTGAATGTTGAAAAGTTGGATTACGTGTGGTTTTCACTTCTTAAGATCTATATTTTGGTATTATTGAAATTGCCTAAAATATTGCTTTGGACTGTAAAATAGATTTTTAAAATACCAAATAAGAGTTTGAAGATGCACAGCCTGCAAATTCAGAATGTAGTAGTGCCAGCATTTAAGTTTGGATTTTAAAAATAAAATAAAGTTTCACAAATGTCAGAAAAATCATTTTCTCCTTAAAAAGCGACAGCCGTAATTTAACAGAAAATATTCTCAGTAAGGGATTCACCACCAAGATAAAACCTCATATTGCTGAGCCGTCTACTGCTAGTTTCTTTACAATGTATCTGTCGTTTAGTTGATTGATATTGGTAAGGAAGGAGATGAAAGGCAAAAGAAGGATAAGGGAGGACAGAATAGGGACAGGAACAAGGGGGAAAGACATAGGAAAGAATAATAGAAGCAAGCAAGAAGGGATACTGTAAAGGTTAAAAGGGAAGCAGTCAAAAAGAACACCAATGGAGTATTTCCGAGTCTAATCCTGTCTACTCACCACTTAAAATCCCTGTGACTTCTGTCTTCAAACTATCTCATGATGGCAGTAAAGCTTGAGATCTATCCACAGCACATCTCCCAACTTCTCATCTGAACTCTCCAGCTCACAAACCTGATGAACTACAGGAACACTCCTTGTTCTTTTGTGACTGCTCAGGTTCACTCATAATTTTTTTTTTTCATATTCAAGGGATCCCTGACTTTTTTCATTTAGCTGATTACTTCTCATTCTAAAATTCCATCTCGTGCATCAGTTCATCAAGGGTGTCTCTCTCTCTACTTCAGTCTGGAATAGATCTTACTCCTGTATGCAATTACATCATGTTTTCAAACCTCTCACATTATTTCATACTATATTTACAGTTAATAGTCTCTCTGTCTCCTGTGCTAGGTCTATGAGCTTCTTGAGAGCGGTGACTGTATTTTATTCAGAAATCCTGGGCGACAGTAAGTTTGAGAGACAAGTGGTTGGAAGGATGCGGGCAGGCATATGTATATAGACGATGAAAAAATTGATAATAATGATTTCTTGGTAAATAATGTTCACTCTACATGTTAATCCTTTTGAAAATTGATTACAATAAAAATATTGAAAATAATTGTTACTCTAGAAATTATCTCACACATTGCAAGTTTTAGGCATCTTACTGTAAAACTAATTTCCAAGATTGTTGCTAGTTTCTATTGAAATATAATCTAGACCCATAAATTTCCCTGTAAATCCAAATACAATGTAGTGTGTGCCTGAGGGCCCTGGTGCCTCAAGAGCCTTCATGAAGCTGGGCTACCTGGCCACTGTCACTTCTCCTGCCCTTATGTGAGGTTTTATAATTTTTGTCTTCCAAGTAATTGGTCCATTTCATCTAAGATATCAAATTTGGGGGCTTAAAGTTGTTCGTAATATGTATTTATTATCCTTTTACTATCCCTTGAGATCAGTAGTGGTTCGTCTTTTATTTCTGATATTCATAGATTGTGTCTCCTCCTCTCTTCATTTCTCAGTTCAGAGTTTGTTAATTTTATAGGTCTTTTCAAAGAACCAGCTTTTTTTATGTTGTTGAGTATCTCTATTGACATTCCATTTTTCAACTTCATTGGTTTCTGACCTAATATTCATTTCTTTCCACGTTAGGCTTATTTTGCCTTCTTTTTCAGTTTTCTAAGGTAGAAGCTTAATATTATTGATTTAGATCTATCTTCTCTTCTAATATGTATAATCAATGACATCAATTTCCCTCTAAACACTACATTCATTGTATCCCACAAATTTTGATTTGTCTTTTCATTTATATTTAGTTCAAAATATTTTTAATATCTTCTGAGATTTCTTTTTTGATCCATTTGTTATTATTAACAAGAGTATTGTTTAATCTCCAAATATTTTAGAATGTTCCAGCCATCTCTCTGTTATTGACCTTTAGTTTAATTCCTTTGTAATCTAAGAACATGTTTTGTATAATTTCCATTCTTTTAAATTTGTTAAGTGCATTTTATGGAGTAGAGTATGGTCTATCTTTGTGAATGTTCCACGTGAGCTTGAGAAGAATGTGTGATCTGCTGTTCTTACATGTAGTTTTGTAAATGTGAATTAGGTCAAGTAGATCAATGGAGTTGTTGAGCCCTATGAAGTCCCTAGGAATTTTCTGCCTGCTGGATCTAACAACTACTGAAAACAAGGTGTTGAAGTCTGCAAATACAGTAGTTGTTTGTCCGTTTCTCCTTGGAGTTCTATCAGTTTTTGCCTTAATATTGTTGTTAAACATTTACACATTCAGAATTGTTATGCCTCTTTTGAAAATGAATGAATTCCCTCAGATTATGTGTGTCTCAGAAAATGTTTTGTCATTCTTCACTTTTGACGGATAATTTTGCTAAACATAGTATTCTTGTTTGTTTTTTTTCAATGCTGTAAGTATTTCACTCCTCTCTCTGCTACATGGATTGACCAAAAAAAATATGTAATTTATATTCTTGTTCCTCTGTAGGTAAGGTTATTTCCCTATGTCCTCTGGATTCTTTCAAGACTTTGTCTTTTTTTTTTTTTTCTTTTCTTTTCTATAGTTTAGATGTGACATGCCTAGGTATGGATGGGATTTGTTCTGTTTTGTATTTATCCTGCTTCGTGTTGTCTAAGCTAAGTGGTTTCATGACTGCCATTAATTTGAGAAAATTCTGAGCTATTATTATTTCACACATTTCTCCTGCTCCTTTTTCTTTTTTCTTCTGTTCTTCTGGTATTCCAGTTGCACGTGTGTCATACCTTTTATGATTGTACAACAATTCTTGGATATTCCATGGGGGTAAGCGTCTTCTGTTTTCCTCTGTACATTTCAGTTGGGAAGTTCCTATTCAAAAGTCTTCAAGCTCACTGATTCTTTTCTCAGCTTTGTGCTATCTACTGCTGAGCCCCTGAAAAGCGTTCATTTGTTCATTTGCAGAACAGAGATCAAAGAGGAAATTGTCAGGAACTCTCCTTGCACAATTCCATGTAATTATTTGTGCTAGTACCCCTCTTCAGTTTTTCTTCTTAATCTTTCACTATGTAGTATCTAAGAACACGGATTCTCTGAGCCAGGCAGTCAGTCTGAGTCTTGTCTCTGTTACTGTGATGGCTAATATTGAGTGTCCATTTGATTGGATTGAAGGATACAAAGTATTGATCCTGGGTGTGTCTGTGAGGGTGTTGCCAAAGGAGATTAACGTTTGACTCTGTGGGCTGGGAAAGGCAGACAAACCCTTAATCTGGGTAGGCAAAATTTAATCAGCAGACAGCATGGCTAGAATATAAGCAGGCTGAAAAATGTGAAAGGAGAGACTGGCCTAGTCTCCCAGCCTACATCTTTCTCCTGTGAGGGATGCTTCCTGCCCTTGAACATTGGACCCCAAGTTCTTCAGTTTTGGAACTCAAACTGGCCCTCCTTGCTCCTCATCCTGCAGACAGCCTATTGTGGGACCTTGTGAGTGAGTGAGGTAATAATGAACTCATATATATGTCATATAAAATATATATTATAATTATATTTTATATATATATTCCATTAGCTCTATCCCTCTAGAGAACCCTCACTAACACAATTACTTATGAGCTATGGGAAATTAATCAAC